CCAGTCACGCATATGAGCACCAATGGCAGCAGCGGCGGACATGGCACTCGAAAGCTTGCGAGCTTTGATGATAGCTGCACCACGCTCCTGAACATCTTTCACGAGTTTTTTTTCAATCCATTCCTTGTCTGACACGATTTTATCAAATGGTGCGCCCTTCACTGTAGCATTAGTGACATCAGGTACTTGAGTGCTTGAGTGATTACCCCAAATCACGACCTTTTTTACGTCTTTGGACGTCACTTTTGCGCTCTGTGTCTCGTTGACTTTTTCTACGAGAAACGAGCGTAAACGCTCGTGATCTAGACGCGTGAGTGCAGAAAAATTGTTGCGTGGTATACTGGGCGCATTTTCCATGGCAATAAGGCAATTTGTATTGGCAGGGTTCGCAACAACTAGCACTTTGACATCGCGATTGGCAAATTTCTCAATCGCGGCACCTTGAGCCTTGAAGATAGCAACGTTTTTTTCAATTAAATCTTTGCGTTGCACACCTTGCTGTCGTGGGAAACCACCGACGAGAATGGCAACATTCACATCATTGAATGCTACCTCTAAGTCGGACGTAGGGATGATAGCATCTACTAGATTAAAAGCGCAATCCTGTAACTCCATTTTAACACCTTCGAGTGCATTCTGGGCCGATGGAATGTCGAGAAGACGCAGCTCAACTCGTTGGTTTGGTCCAAACACCTGGCCAATGCAAACTGTAGGAGGCAAGGCATTAGACAACGAAATTTTTACATAGCTAATGGTACATTGACATACTGAGAGGTAACAACGAGTACGCAATCTGACCAGCTGCACCGGAGACGACAATCTTATAAGTAGTCATGACAATGGAAGAGTGTTGGTGCTTCGTGTTGAACTTGGATATTCGAAAGTGAGGGAAAGATCGGTCTGCCTTGATTCTGATGTGGTGAAATGATTGTTACGTTCAAAGATCAACGATCTTTGAAAGGAGCATTAAAATTTAGAGCATTATTTGAAATAGTGTCTATACTCGAAATCTGCATTGTCGTACACTGTACAAATGAGACGTCAAATCACGTACAAAGGTAGCGCAATGAACTAATAAATGGCTAGCGTTATGAACGATATTGCATATAGTATGTGACTCTCACGCATAAGCGTCAATTTATAACAAATCGACGATTGCCATGAACTCTTGGTCTTATTAGATGATTATCTTTCCTGCAGAGTATGTAAGCTAATGTCTTAAGTAGCCGCAAAGACCTTAAGTAAGCAATGCAGCCAGGTTACGCACACAGACGCTTTCATGTCAATTTATCTTGAGGACGTATACTGGCTTCAGAACTCTACGCGTATACACGCAGTTTGAGAAGAAAGAGAGCTCAGATAGTCATAAAACACCAATAATCGGCTAGTTTCTCAACTAAAATTTGAGCTGATTGAACATTTCAGTTATATATTGTACAAATATTATTGCGATATGAATTAAAAAGGTGTAAGCTCTATAGAATAAAAACTGACCTGTCCTTTATTGTATATTATTGGGCAACGGATACTGTAAAAAGCAAACTTCAATATGCATTCCGAGCCCTACGCCAAGGGCCGTTTAGAGTCAGTCAGTATGATTCTACACTAAAGTGCCATGCAAAGTGCAGCGACAAACGGTGGAAGAAAAGCCTCGTAACGGCTCGACGCTCTCTTAGAAAATGTGGCAACAAACGCCAATTCGTTCAAGGCGCCTGCTCCCTGTGTTTGGGACGAAACATCTCTAAAGGAGCCGCTGAGAAGCAAAAAGAAGACTCTTGCTTCTCACCTCCACCACCCGAGACTTTGCTCTCTGGTAATGTTTTTGTCCTCTTTCTCTTTCTTCGTGTTGCTGATAATTTTACTGTTTCAGGGTACCTAAATTTTTCAATTTATTGCACGATTGTCATCCATTTGTCATCATATATCTCGAGATTAATGACCCTAGTAATGGCTGATGAAAGTATGTCATCTCTTGGAAGAGAACATTGTCCCAAGGGGAGTACATTGCTCCCAATAATTACATCAGTAGCTTCTTTAATCGGCTGCTTTTACGTTGTGGGCACATATTGGCGGGTATTGGCACTACGACAGCATCCTGCGGGAATTATGTTTGGTATGAGTATGTATGGCGCAATTTATCAATTCTTATATTTGATAGATCAAACGTCTAGCTCCGTAAAGTGTACCGATATGAGTATCATTGTCGACTTCTTTCTCACTGGTCAAGAGACATATATGCTCATATTTGCAATCGATCTTCTTCTGGCTCTGAAAAATCCATTTTCAGCTTCAAAAGGTCAAATGACTAAATATCACATTTATGGTGGACTCTGGAGTATCATTTGTGCCGTCATATCACATTTCGACACACAGTACGCGCTCTTTAGCTTCTGTTGGCTAAATTCTAATGGACAAAGCGCTTTGAGCTCGAGCTCCTCTCATTTTCTGGATAAAGATAGCTCGAAGAACGCTTTAACGGCTGGGATTTTTTTCGCCCTGTACATTATTGTTGTGTATTGCACGTCACTCATTGCAATTATTCGCACGTGGAATACTTTTGTAAAGGGCCTTCCTGACACATTTCGAACACGAAAACGTATTCAGCGTCATTTGAAGTACTATGTGGGCTGTTATTTTGGATATTGGACATTAGTATTAGCGTGTTATGCGGTTTTTACTTTGTTACCTCATTCGAACTTGGACAGCAATGGCGGTATGAAGTGTCGAGTATGGCATCTATTATCTTGTCTATTGCTTGCAAAAGGAATGGTACATGCTCTTATTTGGACCAGAACGTCTAACATTCTTCGCATCCTAGAGCACTTTCGTAAAAACGGAACAGTTGATCTGCCTATGCAAGATGGAAATTGGGATGACAATATCAATTGGGCACTTCGACATGAAATTCTCACAAACACTACAAAAGGAATTTGTCAAAGTGTTGATCGCGCTGAACGTCAAGCACGCGCGTCTGCGGACTCATCGTTACGATCAATTTCACTCTCCGACGCCTCGTTGGAAGAAGAAAAAATAAATATATGTTCAACTCAAGACGATTATTGTGACCGAAAAGAGAGTTATACACAAATTGAAGAACTAATTCTCGAGAATCGCAATGACAATCGCTCAATCGGTCCACGAACGGATGGCGTTGTATTCAAAGATTTTGCACCTCATGTCTTTCGACGTCTTCGCGAAGAAGCTAAAGTTTCGAGTGCAAGCTACCGAAACTCATTGCAACAGACAACAAAAGAACAAGTGAGTGAAGGGAAAAGTGGTGCATTTTTCTACTTTACTCAAGATCGCAAATACGTGGTAAAAACGCTTTCAAAAGAAGAACTCAAGTTTTTTCTCGGAATTTTGCCTGCATATTATACTTTTATGAAACAAAATCCGAACACCTTTATCACGCGCTTTTTTGGATGTCATGGTCTCACGATGTATGGCAAGACGGTCTTTTTTGTTGTCATGCAGAGCGTTTTTGCCACATCACAGCAAATTCACGAGCGTTTTGACTTAAAAGGCTCATGGGTTGGTCGATTAGAAGGTCGAAAACCAACCGGAACAATTGCTACGTGTAAATTTTGTAATGCTGAGTATACAGTCGGAGGTAGCCATGACCAGCGTTGCAATGTTCGTAGAGAAGGCAACATGAATCACCAATATGATCAAGTAGGAAAAGATCTAAATTGGAATCGTCACATGGCTTTGCCGTATGCCACAGCACGTTCCGTTGCCATTCAATTGACAGCTGATTCCGAATTTCTTTGTCGTATTAATTGTATTGACTATAGTCTGCTCGTTGGCATTCATCATCGGAGTTTTAATGTATCGCACTATTCTTCCGCTGATTGCTTCGAGTCTCCACGATTTGACAGTTTTGGTAGCATGAGCAGTCGATTTCGTGTTTCTACACGCAGTGGGCGGAGTCAAAGCAGTGAATTTTACAGTTCTAGCACAAATTCTAGTTTTATCCGTAATCGTAGTAGCAGTGGAGGAAACCGAGTCGATAGAGGCCCCGGTATGGAATTGAAGGATCTTCAAAAGCCAGTGCACCAAGGTGCGCATCGAGGTATGAGTGTCGACGAAGTGCATGGTCCTGGATTGTACTATCTTGGCCTCATTGATATGCTCCAGCAATGGAACTTTCGCAAACGCGTTGAACATTTTATTCGCGTTTACATTTTGATGCAAGATCGACATGGTATTTCTGTTGTTAATCCGCGTCAGTATGCAGATCGATTCCAAGAACGTGTGGTAAAGGAGCTCATATACGATGCTGCTGCTTTGCAAATGCGTGATCCTCGTGATAGTGTATCCTTAACACAACTTCAGCTTCAAAATCAACGAAATGCTCAATTAGTCGAATCGAGTCGAACATTAAGCACTATGTTAGCGTCTCTGGATGGAAGCGCAGTGACTCTTTCCAGTCAACCTTCTGCACCTATTGAATCGATCACAAATTCGATTATGTCACCAAATATACGCATTCGGTCACGAACCGATTCTCCCTCACTACCCACTACAACAGGCGCTTGTGCTTATTCTGGACGTTCATGCGAAAATTTAAACCATAACGGAGTTGGACGACTATCTGGTGGCTTAATGATGGCATATCCAGCCACACTTCCAATGATATATTCAACTGCAAATGAAAATGTCCCATTTCACCGACATCGAAGTTTGGCTCCACTCACTCCGTCACCACGTTCTTCGTCCGATTTCTCAGGTAACCAACGCGCAATCAACATCGGGTATACATCCAGCTCCGATACAGACGCTAGTAGTCACAACAAAAACGATAAAAATTGTCATAGCAGCAATCGACTTGGTCAACTTGGACATTTAGATTTAACTAGTCCCCGCGATTACCGATTCGTGTGTACCCCAACTTTTCCGGAGAGAGGAACAGCAAGTGCTGCCACATTTTCAGCTTAGATGATATCAATAGTAGAATTAGTGCTTTTGTCATGTATTAATTTATCTTATCCTAACGACGTGGAAACATACACATGATTTCGATCATGTAGCACGTCACAAATTATATCTGTAAATGTAAGCTCCTGCTTGCCATCCCGCATGATTTTTGCTGGATTTCCTAAATGTAGCCATCCTTGACTACCACCTTCAATACCATCAGCATCCTCAACATAGCGAGCAATGGCTACGTAACCAAGCCAAATGACCTGTTGTGTACCGAAACCACAGTGAATGGGAATAATCTTGTCTCGCAGATGAACCATAATGGTGATGGTGTCGTCTGCGCCATCATTCGATGTCAGAATGACATCGTCGTTTACATCAAACTGATTCGCTGCCTCCTGGTGATCCGCAGACGACCGCGTCTTGTGTAGAATGCTCATGTTGGTGGTTTTTAAGTCATTGAATAAAAAAAAAGAATATCGGGAACAGCGAGACGATTGTCGATGGATCCGGCGGTTATCGTGCTTCTTGGCCGGCAGTCACATAGTATTATGAACTTAGCTAAAAATCTCAGACGTAATGGGTAATTATTACCAAGCGAGTTACTGTTTTATAACTTCAAAGATATAATTGGGCAAATCTGTATCCACCACTGCGAAGAGCTAGCGTTAATATACAGATGGGGATGGGATGATCTAAAATTGTCCCTGGGACGCAACACTAAGATCTATTCAGATCTATTCAGGTACAAGATGCTGCTGTGCTCAATATCAAGAATGGCATAACTACTAATCAGTGTGGCAAGCAGATGATATAAGCATTGCGTGACAGTTGTAGCCAACTGTCGTAAATTACTCTGCTATCGTGCAGAATACTGATATCTGCGGTTGTTGATCACTATTTCCGAGCGCACAAGACCCAGCACCTTTGAGCTTGGCTCTGACAATTGTTTTGGGAGTACTGTAGTACCGTATTTGTACATACCAAATCAAGACACTTAAGCCAAACCAAAGTAAATGTTAAAGTATCATGACTAGTTCTGGTGTGGAGTAAAGATAGGCCATCGTATGAGAGCTACACACAATGATTAGTAAAATCATATTTTTATTGTAAGTTAAGAGGCTCTCGGTTTCGCTTTTAGATGAAGCGTACGAGCTGATTGCCTGAACGTTAGTCTACGCGGACTCGTAGAGCTGGAGCCTTCTCTGTGTAATGTACACGGCCAACTCGTTGCATCTAGTAGACTGCTGATTTTGTACGAGGTTTTGGACGAGTCGCTGTGAGGCAATGACTTATTATCCGTAATTGGCAAAACCAATTGCGAGACAAGCCTATGCACTACGATCCTAACAAAGCAATACTTCCTGGTAAAATGCTCGTTGTCATCGACAAGGTGGGTTCCCTTTTTTAGCCATCGAGACCCAAATGCGATTACGCGTTGATCTCCACTGTCGTGAAGCACAGCATATGTTTAAGTCCATATCTTCACGGGTGACACAAAGTAGCAAACAAAGTTTTGGAGAAGCCAGAATATTTGCACGCGTGAGAATTTCTTTCGCGGCTTTCATGATCACCTTTTGTGCCACACCCTTCTACCATTAAAAATAGGGGGGTGTCGTGCCATTTCGGCATATTTTGCGCTATACGTGTGCGAATAGCTGGCCAGGTCAGACCACTTATGGGAGCCTTTTCAGGATAGATACACTGGCCAATCTACGTTAGCACTGCTCTCAAATTACTCGGTGAATATTTCGTCAAAAAAATAAAAGTGATAAACGATATATGTACGGTCTAGCTAATTCAATACTTAAATGTCTGAGTTGCGGTCTACAAATGAAAAGCCATACACTGTATAGCGTGGTATCAGTAACCGCTGTGCCTCACGCACCTCTCTTTTCCGGAGTCGCTCACCCTCACCCATACCCGCATTTGATCATGATGCTTTATCATGATGTCTTGATTTGAGCTTCGTTCTTCAATGTGTATACAGATTTATTCAATGCTAAATATTAACAATGGGGAAGATATTGATATCTATATGTTTATGACGGGAAGGTGTAATTTACTACACTAAGCACTTATACAGGCGAACGTTATGAAGCATTTTACGGTAATTGCATGCACTCATACATAATGACAACATCGTCCAAACTCCTCTCTTTTCAAATATAAAGCTCAAAATGGCTTACCGGGCCAACAAAGCACGCTAAAGCATTTTATCGAAACCACGAAATATGGATAGCATAGTATCAGGATTTGCTATTCTCTTATCGTAAATGTAAGCTTTATTAATAGGTATCCTTCCAGTCTAACGTTATTTGCTGCAAATACATTGCGGCCCGCAAGTCTTTCTTGGCACATGTTATATGGGCAAAAAATTTGTATGCTCATGTAACCTTAGAAAATCACGTTGGCTTGAAACCTTACGTTTACGAAACCCGTAAATTTCAAGTTCTGTGAGGTCTCATCGTTGCGTGACACACACAATGTGGCAGAAGCTGCGATAGTCCACTCAAAAACCTGGTCAAAAATCATACTTGCTTCTGTAATCGTTGCACTTAAGGCACTAGAAGTGCTGCTGAGGTCTTGTCTTTTTTACGTATCTATTCGTTTGACTGCAAAGTCAGAACAAACGGAAGTGCCCAATCTTGATTTTCATGGATATCCAGAGACTGATCATATATCTTTGTTTTAAGTGATACGTCTTCGTATCGTTTGCAGAGCAACAAATCTTGAGATTGCAGAAGCCAATTGACAAATCCGAATGGCTGCTTCAAAGTATTTGCCGTGTGAGAAAAATAATAACGTAACTCAGAATTGTAATAAATGGTATTTACATGCTGTAAAGCATATTGATTGCCATAGTTTGCATATTTTAAGTCTGATTACGTAAAAAACGTGAGCTATTCACCGAAACAGATCGACATACTATTTATTTGGCAAAGATGGTTCAGAAGATTGTGTAGGAATCAGCTTAAACTAATCGATATCTCAAAAAGTGGATATCACATCACGCACGTCCTTTGAAAATTGAGAGAGAAAGTGTCATTGCCAGTGATGCTGTCCATATTAAAAGTGTTTGCTTATCGTCTTAAAATGTAGACATTGGGCTATCATTGACATGGTACTGTGTCGGACCATGTTAATTGCTTACGATGAGTACACATTCTATGGCGTAGTTTAGTACTGTGCATTCAAAACAACTTTGACAGTGTTTGATATTGGATTGACAGCTAAATTATTGATCTTACAGTCGTACAAGCATCGGAATCCCACGTTAATTATTAAACGCTTCTGATACAACTACCTGACATGCAAAAAGGCCCACGAGTCTATCTGACTAGCGCCGGATCCATTTCATATCAGAATTTGATCAGACCAATTGCTGAAGTGAAGCGCACACTGTCACTCTTGGTGTCTCGTCAAACCCATTTAAACCTTCTCTAGTGGATATGCCTCCTGTAGATGATCCTTGAATTGGTTGTCATTAAACGGGACCACGGCTGATCCAAAGTTACTGTCTTCATTAAGAGCATCACGAGCCGGATCTGTGAGTTGATCCCACAAGATCAATTTCTGGTATTGACCATTATGACCAGTGAGTCGTATATTCGACGAGCGCAGACCAAATTCAAAATATTCAAATCGAAGGGATGTGTTGGAGATTACAACGTTGGATCCTACTTGGAGTCTGGCAAAATCATTCAAATCCAATTTCGTAACTGTTTTATAACGAGTATCGGACTTGGCCATGGAGACCGCTACAATCGTGGGAGTCATTGATTTCAAGTCATTAAGCCACACTACAACACTTTTCCAGTCGTGACGTTGTATCGGGAATCCAAGCCAAAAACGTTTTGGAAAGTACCATGCGTACATGATAGCCGAGAGATTTTCGTACGACCCTATACGACCATAGATTTGAGAGCCATGGCGAGCATACGTGCATCCATCGTTTCCATTACTACCCTTCAATCCATCACTGACCTCTCCATCAGCATCTACGGCAGCATATGGAACACAGACGACCATCGATGTATACAGAAGAGGTTTGTACTTGAGAGCAAGTTTTTGTGTGGCACATGTCGGTATGGGCTGAGGAAATGGCTCGATCTTGTCAGGATGCACACACGTAGCACAAACAAACAGTGAGGCGAAAAGTACCACAGCGAAGGCTTGTACTTTCATATTGACAGAAGAAAGTGTGAGTTGGTCGTGTGGGGGTCTACGCAGGTGGTTAACTCACTTTATGCAACTAATTTTGTCCCGCAAGTAGAAAGTGGCACAAAATATTAGAGTATGATTTCTAATCATGAGAGATATTTGCCAAATGTTGATGCTTAGAGCTGCCTCTGAAGACCGAATCTCTTTATAACCTAATCACCTTGACATACTGACTCTCATTCTTTTTCGCAGTTTAATTGATAAAGTCAGCGTCAAAGTGCGTCTATTTTTGAAAGAATAGTATCATCTGGGAAAATTTGAAAGACATTATCTGTTGATAGTAATATGCGAAGAAGAATAGAAAGGAACATTCAACCGTTAAATTTAATATATATCGGCTAGATATATCGAGTGCTGTACCCAGTTGGAATAATTTTTATGACATAAGATATAGCAGGACACTTGTCTGACCATACTGCGAAAAAATCTGTAGGTGCACAAAAGATAGTGCTCTAGCAACTTTTATTAATCTTCCTTTAACGATAGACATGTCAAATTGTTGATATTTGTCTGTAAGAAAGAGTCTTCAGCAAACTGAATTTCAGTTGTAGGGTCGTCTCAATTTGCTAATTAGAAAACTCGTAAACCTTCCGACTATCTGGGTAAGTTGTGAGTTTAATTCGGGCTACAAAGTAATAATATACACTGATTCATGAGTCTAAAAGTAGCCTTTCTAAGAGTAGTTAACCGGATCTTGGAAAACATCGTACAGACATACGTTATGGGATACGAACCGGGTATACGTTACTACATTATGCCGTGCATGTACAATTTACTTTTATGCAATGTGTGACAATGGAGCTCCAGGCATGTGGTAGCATAATGCAGTACATAATTCTAAATTGTATAAGTGATTCGTAATATTTTGAGTTAGCCTTATATGACGCTATAAAAATGAATAGCGAAACTCAGTACTAAGTTATATCGAGGTAAGTACAATGAGTCAATATTGTAAAATTCACATTGCGAATTGGATATTCATAAGTACCAACGAATCGGTATTCTTGAAGGTGATGAGATTTCGTAAAGGAGAGGTCCAAGTTTACTAGCCGTCCGCTAATGAAGAAAGACAGTTTTGAAACATGATAAATCGTATACATTTAGCATTTGTCTGATTGAAACTGATCCTAAATATGTAACTCTGTGAGATAGCAAAGCAATCTGATGACTTAATTACGCTAGAGGCTCTCGGTTCAGCTTTTGGTCGGAAGGTACGAGCCCGACTGCTGTGCGTTTGTTAAATCGGGCTCTTCGAGCCGAAAAATCCTCTGCGTGGAGTACTGGAAGAAAGAACTCTCTGAAGGCACTAGGGTGATGGACCTCAGCCATGCTGAGGAGATAAAAAATGAGCCTTATTGCTGATGAGCAGCCCCGTAACACTCGCATAAGTTTCACATGAGGTAGTGCTAAAAAACATTTGCGGCTAGTGTTCCCTTCGCTCTTGGCTATGAGGTACGATGGACTGGGCTCCCAAGGGCAAATTTTAACGGAATTTCACGTGCCCTAGTAGGAAGATTTTTAGCAATTAATAAAACCACGTCTCCGACCTCAAAGTTTTAACATTTCTCTGCCTCTTCCGTCAGCATATTCTTTCTGCATGTCTTGGCGTTCAGCCACCATCGCATCGCGAAACGTGTCGTAAGACACTCAGTTTGGTAGACAGGAATCATCGACTTCTTTACGAATTGTTAGAGGGCTGACATCAGCTAGCTGCTTGGCTATATCTCCCCCACCAAGCCCTGAACCATGGGATGATGACGTCAGCGAGACGCGAGGATTAACGAGCCCGTTCACGTAGAATAGCGGGTAGCCGGTAAACGAAGGCACTGCATTGTTCAGAGCGAACTCTCCGAGTGGCAGCATAACGCTCCAGCGCCTCGGAGTCTCAGCGCAGACGCTGCGAAGGACGTCCTCGACGATGCGATTTACGCGCTCAGTTTGACCATCGGTCTGCGGATGGTCTGCTGTTGACATATATAGCTTGGTGTCCAGCACCTTAAAATCGTCGACCAAAACTTCCCAGTGAAGCATGGGTCTCTGTCAGAGACAATTGACTCCGGGAGTCCATGTCGTCGAAAGGCAAGATCCACAAACAGCGTCGCTATACCGACACCGTCGATGGTGTCCGGTACCGCCGCAAGATGAGCCATCTTGCTCAAAAGGTTGACGAAGATCACGACACCCGTTTTGCCCGCCGAGTCCTTCAGTAGGCCAAACACAAAATCAATATTCATGGACTGCCAGCACCCGAAGGGTACCGGCAAACTGGATATCGACGCCGCTGCATTCGGAGGGGGGGTCGCCCTTTCACACGCCTCACACGAGCGCACATATGTGCTCATCCATCTGTACAGTTTGGGCCACCAGTAGTGACAACTCACAGAGCTATAGGCCTTCTCACGACCGAGACGACCACTGAGTGGGATGTCTTTGGTCTTTTAGCGGATACGGTACTTCAAATCCTCTTCGTGAGGAACCACAATTCGTGGCGTATCCATCGAGTCAGCGCTATAAACCATATTTCTTAATGAATATCGGTGCAACCGCGCACGCAGTCATGACGACGATTTCTTATCCGAGTCTCCAAACCCCCATGATCCCGAGAGCCCGTAGCAGCGCTACGCACAATCATCACCCGCGTATGCGGCGCAGATCTGGTACGTCACTGACGGTGTCACCGTCGTGACATGAGCAGCTCATAATCTGGTCTGCGCGACAACGCATCAGCCAAAACATTCTGCTTTCCTGGCTTATACTTCACCCGAAGTTATATTCTGCGATGAAGAAAAGCCACCTGGCCATTCTCTGCGAGAGGTGATGCGACTGAGTCACAGTGCACGATCTGTGTAGATCACGAACAGCCTGGAGCCGAGCAAATGAACCCTGAACATAACAAGTGCATACTTCATCGCAAATAATTCCTTGTCGTGAACTGGGTAGATTTCTCTGCAGCCTTGGGCTGAGATTTGGACTTGATCACCCGATCTCGCCTCTCGGCGTCTGCTTGCAGTAGTGCTCAGCCGATGGCAAAGTCGAAAACGTCACAGACGGCACTGAGAGGACGACCCGTGCCTGGCTACGCCAGAACTGGTGCATGAGGGAGGCTGTCTTCGACCCCGTCGAAAGCCTCTCGATGCTTGGTGTCTTAACACCATTCCGCATCCTTCTTAAGGAGATTCGACAATGGTCGTGCCATTTTCGCATAATTTTGTGCTATACTTTGCAAGTAGTTGGCAAAGCCAAGCCACTTGCGTCAGTCCTTTTGTTCTTTGGAACAGGCCAGTCATCAATAGCCTCAACCTTAGCGGGAAGCGCCCTAAAAAGGGGTTTCTTCGGCGTCGAAGATGCACTTGTCTACATCAGCGTACAGCTTATTCGTGCGCATACACTTGAACACCGCTTTTAAATGGACGATGTGGCTCTCTACATCCGTCCTTCCGTGTTCTGCACGACTGTGGACCACGATGTCGTCGAAGTAAGTCTGTGCATACGCCCGGTCGGGCCTGAAAAAATGCATCACAAGACGATTAAATGTTGCTGGTGCATTTGACAGTCCTTGGGCATCACCAGCCACTCCTAGAGAATGCCGCTCAGCCTCACCGCTTTCAGCTGAATATCACTCGCTCTTATGAGCATTTGGTAATACCCATCGACCAAGTCGAGTGCGATGTACTTTGTACAGCCAACCAACTCCTGTGCAGCAGAAAGTGGGGCTAACGCGGACGACGCTGAGTGCGTGTCCCCACTGGTCTCACCCAGACATACAACCTCTGCGGATAGGCGACGGCGACGCCGCATGTTATCTGCAAGACGCCGGACGTCGACCCTGACCCAGGATGTGCCTACCTTAGACGACAGCATACAGTTATACACCCACGTCAACGGTACGACGGCGGAGGAAGACGACGACGTCACCCTCGGGGCTTTTCCTGCGTTGAATGCTCTTCTTGAGCTGGACGAAATGTCTCTCGAAGAGTTTAATGGTGCCTTGAAGGCAGGCTACTTAACCGAAGTGGTCATTATACGACCAGCAGTGGAGATCAACTCGTCATCGCTTCTGGATGGAACTATCCTGGAGGACACCAAAAGGGCGCTGAGTGCACAAAGTGGAACCAGCGGATTCGTACTATCTTTTGATGAAGGAATTTCAGGGCGTCGGCTCCAAAGACTCACCGTCGGTCCTACCTCCGGACCGAGGTGTGTGTCATGAGATCGACCTAGTTCCGGGAACCAAATTCTGCGTAACACGCCAATGGCCCCTGCCCGAGGAGCAGTGCGACGACAATGACGCCATCTTCCGTGCGGTTCACAACACAAGAATGGTGCGTGATAGCAAGTCTCCCCATTCGACACCCACATTTTGTGTCCGGAAACCAAATGGCAAGTCGCGTATCGTTCACGCTCACAATATGCTGAACGCTGCCATCATTCCGGCACAGACATCGATTCCTAAAAAGAATGTTCTCCAGAACAATCCTTGATGCTATTAACGACATCCAAAGAAAAACTGCCAGCCCCACAGTCTTCGTCCAGTGGATAACGTGTAACTTCAAGCGCATCTGAAGGACCTTGCCCAAGATGCCTCAGGCCTGGTCCGACCATGCAACTCGTGGCATGCAGCGACTGCTTTAGAACTTGAGCAGTGCTCATTGGATTACGTGCCACTCCATGTGAATCACTTGGGCCTCGCCCTCGATGCCTCAGCCCTTGGCCGACCACGCCACGCATGGCATGCAGCATTTGCTTTGAAATTTGAGCAGCACTCAGTGGGTAACGTACCACTCTTTGCTCAGTCTACAAGTCATGCTCGGGAGCCCTGTCCGATACACCTTCGGTTTTCACCAACTCGAAAACCTTGAAATCCAGCACGTTGACCGTCTCAGTCCAATAAGGGTTTTGCCTCCTGATAGAGGTGGGTTCATGGCTCACCAAAGCTCCGCCAGGAGACATGCGCGTAGTGTTCAAGGTCTTCGACCTCCAGTCGATCCATGGCTCATGGTGTTCCCGCCATGTCGTACTGCTCTTGAACACGGAACATGTCTGCAAGCCGGGCTTGCTGGTCGTGGAATTGACCGTAAAGGGCTTTGAAAAGCCAAGGAAGATCCTGATCGACCCCGGGGCGTCGGGCAATTATGCTCGACGCTACACGATAGAAGGAAGTCAGCTGTATGCTGAGGCGCAAAAGGCGCAGTTAAGTGACATCGTCACTGTTCGCTTAGCAATGGGGACATGTGTCACGTTGCCGAAGGATCCGGTGAACCGCAGTGTCAGGGCTCTTAACCTCGATAGCGTGGAATGCTGCTTAGTCTCAGACTTGGATTCAAGCTATGACCTCATTCTTGCGGAGCTCTTCGGGGCTAGGCCCTGCTGACCTTTTCTTCCTTGAGGTTCAACAGAACTTGCCCCGCGTCTACTGGGTGTTGTTGTATCTCCGCGACAAGCCAGACTAATTAGAAGCAAAACGTTGATATGATAAGCCTTGACACGCCTTGTGCAGGGGACAACCAATCCGAAGGTGACGGGTGTTTACACAGACAAAACACCACCGGGTATTCGGAGTTCTGCCTCCTCGTACTCTGCATAGCTAAGATCTATCGGTTCAGGCCCGCTCGCTGAGCTGCTAGAGTGTGCATTCCAGCTAAGTCTTGAATTTGAATTTGGCATTCAATGCCACATTACCTGCTTCATAAAAAAATGGGTATACACGGAAGACCTTGATTCTGGCCACACCAGTGCGAAGGCCCTCCATGAAGACGATAAATGTGGCCGCCTCAGGAATAGGATCAGCTACCATGCATGCAATAAGAGTACGCAACTCTTGGAAAGTCCACCAGCTCCTTCTTGCCCTGTCGGGTGGCAAGGAAACGCGATATGCCTGGTTAGGCGGTGAGAACACTCGTGGAAGCCTCAGCTAAGGAGACGCCGCTTCGACCAAAGCGCCGAACGTCAGTGCCCATTCAAGCGCTATACCCCTGAACTTGGAGATAGCTAGCGCCATGCGCTGTTGTTCGGTCCGAAGCATGACAGACGCCATGGCCATCTCGACTTCTCTCACCCAAAGCAGAATATTCTCTCCATCCTTGCCCTCGAAAGACTTAACACACACCATGAGCGATTTGGGTCGGGAAGAGTCATTCTGGCATCATGAACGCTGTCAACGCCGTCATCTGCTACTGTGGTTGCTAAGACAGAGCATTTCCATAGCTTGAAAATACCTCTATGTGCGCGCTGATCGCTTCAACTCCTTGTGAAGCGAGGTGTTGCACGCCCTCAGGGCCAATCGGAGGCATCAGCTTCTTGATCCCGTCCTGCATGCGTTGAAGCAGATAAGAGAACTGCCCAATCCGCACAGAGGGTCAGTCGTAAAGACTCAGGTGTAGAGTGACTACAAATGCTACCAAGTGCATCGGGGCTGCCGTGGCTCTTTCACTCAGATCAAGCCTGGTTAAGGTCGGTGACCTTCACTCTATACTTAAAACCAGTACAAATGTAGATGATTGCAATCCGCTTTCTCCAAGAGTAATTTTGGCCTTAACCCGAGGTATAATTATTCTCCGCTTACAATGTAAACTGTAATTTTCGATTTTATTTGCGGCAAAGCCGCCGATCGCTAAATCTATATTATTTTTCTTATCTACATAGAAAACCTAATTATATATATAGCTGTTGGTTGTTCCAGCCACACATTACCTTCTTGATTTAGTGTAACCACACCATTGTGCGACCTACACCCTTTCTACCGGGGCACGTGAAATCCCGTTACACAAATGACTGGTAGACCTCTTGCGGGGAAACACCGGAGCCAGTAGGCTGCACTGCGCCTGTGCCTACTGAACAAACTGGATTCCATAATACCTTGAAGACGTCGTGGTCGATGTGACGTAGACATGAAGAAGGGATCGTATAGCGCGCGGTCTCTGTAGTGTATCACTGTTGAGATGAAAAGGACAATAGTATATCGTGGCCCTTCGCGTGTATCACTTGTCGGACGGAAGGGTCACAACTGGGAGCTTTGTCCCGTGTGCAAGAGGGCGACAAGCTGTCGTATTCTGTCCGTTGGCGCCTTTGCAAGTCGAAAATAAGATGACAGGGCCCTGAAGGCAAGAATGATGACTCATCCGTGTCACGATTTATCAGTACTGCTAAGTCAGCACTTAAGTGTGACGGTCCCACTGCGCGGGCAGTGATATATCAGGGATAAGTGACTAGAAAAATCATTATCTCGTAAAAGAAGTGACCGGGGTCGTTCTAGAGATTGTAAGAACCCATCACCACCAGTAGATCTTGTAAAGTTGGAGGAATGCTGAGGTGATGTGTGCACGGAAACGCAAGAGGATAAATTCACTGAAATAGCCATGCTGGATCGAAAGAGGAGCTGAGGTTATCATCTGTTCTGGAGAAGTCGTTTTGGCATAAAGAACTGTTGCAGAGTTCTGTTTACGAATAGTGAACAGCTATTCTTAAGATCCTACGGACCTTTCAAAATTTTGTTTGATGAATATCATGAAGTGGTCACAAGAGACCCACCCCGCGTATTACTCTTCAAAGGAGATTTTTTTATGAATTTGACTTGTTTTCCGGAACCTATACTGTGTCACCTGGTAATGGCCCTTGTCAAGGAAAGAGTGTGACGTCATTGACTTAGGAGCAAAACTACGAAGCAAGTTTGGTGAGAGGGAAAATTTCCTCCCTTGGCGACAACATTCGGGATCAAAGTGGCTTACGGCAAGTGGCAAATCAAGTATGCCTGTAGTAACTGGATACATCCACAATTTTAAGGCAAGCGCCTATTCCAAACGAGGGTATCCACGGGAATAGCACGGTTGGTTGCATTCTGCATAGTGTTTTTGACCTGGTTGACAGAATTCCTCGACTGCTGATGAGAGACAACGAGTAATTCGATTCATACCACAGGGTTTGCATTTTCTACAGTGACTGTAAGAATATCCCATCAATGCTCAATTGTATGATGGCACAGCTGTTCAGGCCACTATGTTCAGACCTTTTTCGACAACATATCCTTTAATAGTCGTGCAAAGCGCGGGATGTCGGATGTGGAGAGCCATTTTGGACACTTACGAGCAATGCTCGAGTGCATGCGCTTAAATGAGCTACAGATAGGTGTGTCTTTGGCGCTTTGGCGTCGGCCAAATTCCCTATCTGGGTTGCTTCATTGGGAAACATTACCCACAAAGATAACGGTTATTGTAGAGTAAGCAATGCCTTTGCCCCAAAAGCACCCGAGAAAGTGGCTTGGTCAACACCTTATACAAATACAAGGCTATGCATAAGTCCTCTGCATTCCCCTTCTGAAGGGTTCGAAACGGTTCTGAGATGAGGCAGAAGTAGCGGCCTTCAAGACTGTGTAAAGGTCCCAATGTGTCCCAAGAACGATCTTTAAGATCGTCTGTGACGCTTCATCCTGTTGTTTGCTTCAAAACGATGTCAATTAGCATAACCGTGTGACCTCATTTTAGTCTTGCCTACAAAATGTGGTAGAAAGGATTCGGCAAGGCGGTACTTGCGAATAAGTATGCTCCTGGCAGGCTTGAGGTGCCCTAGCTTGTCTCTAACCGCTTGCGGTCTTTAGAAATCATACATCATTGCACAGAAAAAGTTGTTACCGTATCTTTTACAACAAAGAGATGGGGATACTTCCTTGCTAATCATACCGTTCGGTTAACCTATAAGCCTGGTCGGCTTAATGTTGTGGCAAATGCACTTCCGCGTCCCCCCAGCCGTAAAGTGTTGCATGACGCCATAGTGACGTCGACAATTGATCGGGTAATACGTACAGAATACGGGTCAAATGTAATATGTGCTGTTTCTTGATAGATTTGGGAAGCAAAAAGATCAACAGTTCGGATGCCGCTTAGTCGAAGTGCGCGGTTGTACGTTTGAGCCGCTATGTATCATCATTAGGCTTACTGTACTACAGTATTGACCCATATGACTTTCATCTTAAGGCGAGGACCTCAATTAAGGAGTAATAAACGAGGTATATAATGCCTCATTGGGTGGCCAGCTAACATGCAAAAAAAAAGAATTTGCTTGGTGGGCGCCATTTAAAGAGGATCAAAAAGGTTTTAGTGGGTAGGCACATATGCTCACCCGTGTGAAAAGTATCAGCGTTAAGCCCTCGACGTATACGGTAGTACCTTGGACCAGCCTGTTCAGTTTTTGCAGTGTTGGTTGTCCGTACGAATGAACATTATTGGTCTACCACGAGACGTCTTCGATAATCGCTAGCATTGTAAATTGTATGGGTCGCCTGGGTAAGACGACTCATCTCGCTGCTGTCAGCGACACTGTGCACAGCGCTGTTCCTAGAAACAGTATTTTGTCAACAGGGCTTGTCGATACCATTGTATCGGATAGGAACTAGCTGTGAGCCGTGCTGTTATAGTAACAAGCCGCTGCTAGAAGCAGATAACGAACGCATGAGGTTATTAAGTACTGTGTACTACCTGGTCATATAAAGTCTAACTTTGATTAACCGAAGCGAACATGCCACATCAAACCGTTTACAAACGTAGACTGAAAAAATAATCTACACGCTCAGCATCTCAACGAGAATCCAAACTCATCATGCGCTCTATTTAGGCTTGTTGAAATCATACCGCGGTCCCGCTATTGTGATCCCGTCAACTGTGAAGGGTTCTCTTGGAGGTGTCTCAACCAGCTCCCATGCCTGAGATACCCTCTGCTGCAGGGCAAAAGGTAATACGTTTTTGGGCGAAATTGGTTCCTGTAATTCACTTTATACGATAGCGTGGCTCGGAGCACGTGTCATGAATGTTATTTATCTAAAATATACCACACGTCGAGACGCTTGGAGAAAATTGATATGCCGACATAATCGTACGAGCAATAAGCGAGATGTGATTAACTTCAATCTGAAGCGAAAAGTAGGTCGGCGGATACACCGGATCGAGACCCTGGAAAGGATACGCTAGCTTCGAAAACACATTTTAGTTTGATAGCCCACTTCGGCAAGATTGCCCTGGCATCGTTGCTGCTTAGGACTAAGCGTACCCTTTATGTTTACACCCTAAAGCGTGAAGGCATAACAACCCCCCGTAACGCTCTTTCTGCGATTGAGTGAGGATTGCTTTTATAAAGTTTGAGCACTAGCCGGTAAGCAGGCCCACGAGGCTGAACAGAGCTGTTGACAGCAAGACCGTGAGCTTGTAAGCATCCGCCACAACGCCCACGTTATGCCATGCATTCAACAAACCGCTCGACATAAGATACTCTAGATAAAATTAAATTTGGCCTGCGAAGCTGAAATGGGTGAGGCATCGTTTCATTCTTACCCAGCGAGCGTACTGAGTGCGGTACTCTTTGGTACTTAAGCCAGCATTTAAAACCAGAGGTACAGTTTTCATTGAGAAAACGGATCAGCTTACCCTTCGCTGCTCCAGGCTCAGGCGGTATGCCTGAGATGAGAATCAGAAGGCGAAATGGCTGTAGATCACTCGCTCTGCTCTCTGTTTGAGCAAAGACCTTCACGAATAGACGTGAAAGGGCTCACCATGGCACAACATGCAGTCTCTGATAAAAAGTCCACAATCAAGACGTGATTGATTTTGCAAAAGATGCTATGACTCTTGCGCATGTAGTTGGATAAACTTCATAGGATGATCCAAGTACGACTATGTTACACAAACTGATGGGAAGAATTTATGGGAGTACGTACTCGATGAGGTGCATAAGCATCAAGTTATTGCGTCCCAGAATTTCACAGGAGTACTAGAGTGTTGATAATGAGGAGGGCGATATGATTCATCGATGAAAAAAGTCCGTGGGACACGAGAGCTGAATTCCTCACACCATGCTTTACATATCATTTTTATTTTAAATAGTAGAACAGCGGTATTCTTTATCAAAATAACTCGACTTATTCGAATTTGATTAAAAGGACGAATTAAGTAACTCGTTGCTTTTTCCTCTCTCTGGTTTCGCAAACCAAATATCCATCGGACAGGCTAAAGTAGACTCGATCGTCAAATCAATGGCAAGGGGTACCAGGTTCGGCCGGGGTGTTGTACAGCTTGCATACAAGAAGGTTGAGCCTAAGGACTCCACATTAAACGTCGTACAGAAGGTGGCCTTATAACCGTTACCCACGTATCAAATACCAATTCTTCTGGAATACGATTACTTGGATTTATAGAGTTGGATGATTATACATCTGCTTTTCTATCTTTATCATAAATCTACATGTAAGGAATAGCGTGATGATAGTGGCCCATGTCTCTTCTCCACCGAGTCATCCATTCTTTGCTCAATGAGCCCTGTGTCCTGGACATAAAAGACACCCAGCCTCGCTGGTTCCGAGAGTGCCCACAAGGAGAGCCCTTCTTCGTCTTCTGTTCGTGGTGCAACTTTGGACAGCACGTCTGCGGCACAAGGGAGGCGCTTAAGCCATCGGCAGCCGCACCGATAAATTATCCTGGTCTTTATCTTGTAATTATGAGCTTTGAGCTAAGTCTGGGCAATGCTCTTGTGCGTATGAACATTGTAATGGGGTTCATACCCCATCGCAAAGTTCCATATCACCACATCGTGGCATCGATTAAATAGAGATTTCGTAGAATACTTGAGGGCAGCTGATCCGCTTCTGGCACACAGTGCTTTTCTCGTGCTTCAAATGCTCCTTTCCAGCATTATTTCAACCAGCTCCGTTATCTCAACGTCTTACATTTCTTTGCATGCATCCTTGAGATTCCTCAAGTTTTATATATGATTTTTACGAGAGGCTGAGAACTCTTCTTTTCTTTGCACTACCACAATCACTCCATTCACAAGTGTAAACAATTGTTGACCTAGTCTCTGCGAATCTTTGATGCCTTGCTCTTGAAAGCCGCGAAGAACTGGCTCTTTTTGATTAATAAGGGTGGCGCTGGAACATTGTGAAGCTGCGAAAAATACTAAAGTAAAAGACAAATAAGTATTGTTACGGCGGCAGTGGTAACACGAAATTAATCGTGCTCAGACGGAGATAAAACCCATCGTAAAATTGCATTTAGTCTCCAAATTAGTCCTCCTCAGTAAATACGTCTGCGTGCACCACATCAATAATCTTGTATCTAAGCTTTCACAGCAAAAATGGATGCTTTTGAATTTCTGGAGACGCTGCCAGCAGCAACGCTTGAGCGTCTATATCAAGATCCGTGGGCATGCCAGGCTGTCTTCCAGGCGCTCCCACCTCTTGCTCAGCAATTTGTCATGCGTCTTCTACCCACAAATACCTCAGTACCACGTGATCTTTTAGAGAAATGGGTTGTTCCACTGCCCGGAGACAGTCACGAAATGCCACCGCAATTTAACGCCGCATTACACAAACTCGACGGCCTCAGGGTATTTATACAGGAAAATGGTGGCTATAGACCTCACCCTTTGTTTCAAAAGCAGCTCATGGTAAGAAAAAAACTAATTTCTCCACGCACTTGTGTGAGATAGGCTAACAGAGTGTTTGATGGTGTGAAGTACGCACTAAGCAATCTAGGTGGATCTCCATGGGAGCGTGGACGATTACGTCTTCCCAAAGACCCTGAGAACACCTTTGCAGCAAAGGACCTGGAGCGGTATGCGAGGGCACGCTGGGACTCAGTGCTGCACTATATGGTTGGCTCAACCGCTGTGCAGGAGCCGCCTCAATCTGTTGTAGATATCTTATTACGCACAAAACTCCTTCAGTCTAGTGAGGCAGATTCGAGAGCGCTGCATATAACTGACACGGGCTACGAGTTTATGCTGAAAGATATTCACGTCCAAATGTGGACTTTCATGTTGGAGTACATTCGTACGCTGGATAATACGGGCACTTTGAAGCAAGAGGATATCTTGCAATTTTTGTTCCAACTAAGTTATTGTCAGACGGGTGGGTATTATGCCGTGGCAGATCTGACACAGACGCAACAGCTTCTGCTCGGGGATTTTATTGACTTTGGCTTGCTTTTTCGTAAACGCTCGAACTCCGACCGTTTTTATACAACGAGTTTGGCTGTAAATCTCATTTTTGGTGGATCTAAAGGACAAGAACGCTCACATGTCCGTCTAACAAGTTCGTTTGCTGGAGTGCGCGCTGGTGTAAAGTCGCAAGTGACAAACCCACGCCTTACTCCGGTACTTGACCATGAAGCACAGTTGCTTGTGGTTGTCGAAACAAATTTTAAAATTTACGCCTACACTTCGTCGACTCTTCATGTGGCGATGCTCAGTGTATTTGTAGACATTGTAGCGAGACTCCCCAACCTGGCCATTGGCTTTATTACACGTGAAAGCCTGCGCTCAGCTCTAATTCATGGCATCTCAGCGCAGCAAATATATGACTTTCTTGTGAAACATGCACATCCAAAAATGCGTCAAAACACTCCAATAGTGCCAGAGAACATCGCCGACCAAATTTATTTGTGGGAACGCGAGCGCAACCGCGTGCAATTCATAGAGGGTATTCTTTTCGATGGCTTTAACACTAAAGAGGATTACGAAAGTGTTTGCGACTATGCAAGGAATCTTGACGTGCTAACGTGGGCCGATCCGATTCATTTCAGGTTATCAATTGCTAGCAAAGGCATAAACGAGGTGCGCCATTTCATTCAAAATCAGTTGTCTTCTTGAGATAAACCCCATGTAGCGGGAGATTTAGTTGACAGTCAACATTGACCAAATGGATGGGTTTGAGCTGATTATCGACGAGTGAATCAAGAATAGAGCTTTCTCAAAAGCATTTAAGGCGATACTGAATGGCTTCCAAAGCAATTTTATTGATCGAACGACTGCAATGCGTCCCGGCGCGCATAACAGATCAACCTTTCTAAGCTAAACATTCTTTCTCATTGTTAGTGCTGTCACTAGAGAAACGACTACGAGGGGAAGAAAGAAGCGATAAAGTAGACGAATTAGACGACGTCGAGTCAAATAATCGCTTGTATATAGTTCCGCAAAGCATGAGAACTGATACAAAGATCACATAAACATTAGAGAAACTTCCTCAATATGACAGAATAATTCCAGCACAAATTTTACCTTTTGTGGAAGTCGACCCTGTCAATTTCTTTCCGTAGAGCTCTGTTGGGGAACAGCATCAGTAAAATTTCATGTCGACTGTTGATTTGAATTAATAGCTTCAACGTACTAGTTTCTTCAACCACCTCATGGTGAAATGTTGAATGCCCGCAAATACAACTTAAATGGCTGGTTCGTTTTGAGTCTTGCTTAGATTCTGGGCAAGGTTCCGAATCCCGTATTCTGTAGACGCAGCATTTACCTGGTCGGCAAAGTTTGCAGTTCCCTCGAAGACGACCTTCAAGGTCACGTTTGAAAACGACATGCTCGATAACGTCGCGTGGAACACCTTTAAAAGTCGTTGTTTCCAGCACACTATCTAGATTCGTCCGAATGTAGTCGGCACAAATGTTCAGCAGTGACGGGGGAGTTAACGCTCCGATATCAATCGAATATAAATCCTGCAGTCGATCTGTTCCGTCGTATCCTCCTAATAGATACATTTTGCTGTCGACCACCACAGCCCGGTGAAATGTGCGGCTGCTTGGTATACTTCCTGTAGTACATACCTCGCTCCACGTGTTGGTGGACAGGTCGAGTCGTTGTAAATCATTGAAACGACTGTGCGTCTTGTCAACACCTCCAAACACAAACATATTATCTCCAAAAATTACGGCTGTATGGCGGTATCTGTGTGGAGGACAAATTCCTCTTGTCTCCATTTTGTTCCATATATTCGTGACGAAGCTATACTCGAACAAATCATTCAATGTATCGCGTCCATCCCAGCCTCCAAAAACGATCAGACGGTTCGTATCTGAGTGTACAACACCACTGTGGCCGAAGCGCCTAGACGGGACAGCACCTTGAGCATCCATTCGGCTCCAACGTTGTTCACATATGTCGTAACCACAAAGGTCATTGAACCGGCTCGATCCATTGTAGCCTCCAAAGATATATATACTAGACGAATGCAACACCATGATGTGATCAGTTCGGGCTTCAGGCCGGTTCTCCACGATACTCGGCATCTGGTTCCATCTCTGTTCATCAAAGTTAAAGTAATACAGATCGTTGAAGTAGTTGCCATCACGACCGTCGTAGCCTCCGAAGATAAACATATTGCTTTTGTGGACGACACCTAATGCCCCAGAACGCCTAGGTGGCAGCGCACCGCGTGTTTGCACCTGGGACCACATACTCGAATCGAGATTCAGTTGGTACAAATCTTGTTGCCGACGTCTACGATCGGTGCCACCAAAAACATAAACTCGACCATCTATGACAAAATTCAATGTGAGCAAGCAGCACCTCAATTCATCTGCATCTATAAAATCAGGCGTACCCTTGCTGGTGACAGTATGACCCGTACGCGGACTATACACGTCTCCATGTGGGTGAAGCTTGTCCCACGAGCGTACTTCAAGCCGACTAACAGCGGTAAAGCCCCTGCTATCCACTTCATTTGATCGGCAATCCTTTTTAGCAGTTGACGCTGTCGTCACCGGTGTCACTGCCATGATCCTGAATCGCCAGTGGGTCTGATAGATACAACACTATGCGTTGGTTGTCGTTTCAAGTGTACGCAGCTCTCGCTCGATTCGTAGAATGTCGAGCTACCAGATCCCAAGATTTGTGTCCTGTGCTAGGCTTGCGGGAGTTTCTTAACCGTTTCCTCCTCAACCGTACTTGCTGTCACCTAGCTGAGTGAGGTCGTTTTTTCCTGCGCTAGCACGAATGCGGAATGCAAGAGTGAAGGTCACGGAGGTTTCCTTTTCGAGCCGAACGAGTTCACAATAGTCGAAGAGCCCGTGAGTGACCTGGCTTAATATAGTTAATCCCACACTAAAGCGGCCTTCGCCGTTTTACTTCTTTCTGTCTTTTCGAGCTAACCTATTTACGGTATGTGTGCAGAAGTGATGGACAGAATTGCACTAGTGCTTACTATGTCTTGTACTTGAAGTGCACCATCTTTATACAAAGCCGCCACGTCTGCCATTACGTAAGAAGGCCTGGAACGAACGGACGATATATGCGCGACTAAGGTCGTCTAGACTGTAGAACGGCTATAATAGCGGCAGCGCAATTGGTACCGTTGGCGTATTCGTTGGTATAAGTGGCAGCTGGCACCTGAACTGGGATGTAGAGTTACTGCGATGATGCGAAAATCTGGACTCATTGGTTGCACTATAAGGGCTTAAGAAATCGCCGGATAACGGTATATTTAAATGATTATTTTAGTATTGCCTATGTGGTGGGAGTAATACGAAAGCATCCATTAGAGAATCGATGCGTCACATGGTTATTGTTATCCATCCAGACATAAAACTTAATAAACGACAATCTTCCAGATGCCCGAATTTACAAAGTACTGTAGTCATCCTAAGAAACGCGACTCGACGCAATATGGACCTATCCCACTCTTATCATAAGCATACTTTAATTTGCAAAGAATTGCACAACAACAAAAAACTAATCACAAGTTTCGAAGCACCCTTTGCATTAGGGATCCGGTTGCTCACGCAGCTTACTCTCGGAATTCAAGTTTGTCAACAATTTTTGCATTCTAATCAGTTTATCCATCCTCGTGAACAAAATCTTGCAATCTCTCATTGTGTGATCATAATATCCCGGAGAACATCCACTGGGTCGTGTTTCCACTGTAAGGCAGAATGGGTGGAAGCAGTATTATAAATTTTGCAAAAACCACACGTTTTTATTCGAAAGTACTGAGCAAAGAACTGTTGAAGCTGCCTAAGTTGCGAATCGTGTTCTTGGGTCTCTACAGCCAATCACAGTGGTGTAATGTGTTATAGTAGTTGTATAGCCGAAAAACAGCCTTGATATGCTGTAAACACTTCGTTCTTATTGATTTTGTCATTTCGGAGGCATTTTCTATCAATTTTGTGTTTGTAACGTATTTCTTGAAATCTTTATATCTAAACTGCGTATGATATTCAAATTAGAAAGCAAACTATTTAGAAGTATTGGTTTTTAAGCAATTGTCCCTCCTTATTTTTTGCATGGATAAACGCTGGTCTTATCAAGTAGATGAATTGTTAATATAGCTTTACGGATCATTTTCGCTTCCGATATTCGAATCGACTTGTGTTAAACCTCTACGTACTATCTACAGACAATCCACGACTATCAATAAAAGCTTAAGCCCATTAGGTGTTGATAGCGCGAAGTAATCCAATTGTGCAAAAGCCTATCCAGCACAAACTTCATTTCGTTATGCTCGGCACGGAGATCAGCCACACTCCGTTCGTGCAAAAGTACTTGCAATCGGCATGAAAGAAGCTGTTCTTCTTGGAGTCCGCGTTAACAAAGCACAGTACAGATGTGGATCCAAACGACTCAACTATAACTAGGTGTAGAGTTAGCTCTGCTAATCTAAAGAGTATATATAACGCTAGATTAGTACTACATATGCACTTTTTATTATATCTTATAACAAAACTGTCTGCCTTGTGGCTGGTATGGCACGGACCACTCCTTTTTGGGTCTCTGTCATCCTCAAAATCCCTGATATTTGATACTTCTGAAAATCAACAATAATATCAAAGTGAAATGTGAGTACCGTACTGTAATGTATTTAATACAAATGTGCCAAATGTGTAAGGAATGAGCTCACACGAAAACAGAACTTACCCCGTTACAGGTCGACTTTTATTTGGGGTTGCCGAGATCGTCGCTCAAATCATTTCAGTACGCTCTCTGCGCTGAGGCAGAGCCCTTTCACACCTATCAATTTGAACCTTCCACTCACACAGCGCCAGAATTTTGCCCCGAAGCTTTTCCTGACTACACAGATCACATCCAGGAGTACTGCCTGCGCTGAGAACAGCAGCGTTTGGAAAACTCGATCCTCGCTGAAGGCCGTATCCGAGATACTGGATGCTGTCGATAGCGCCGAAGAGAATACTACTTAACTATCGGTTTTGCAGCGGGGCTGCCGTAGCTTAGCGCTTGAGGATGCGTAATTTAGGTCACCGACCTTTCGTTCTATACTTAGAACAAGTACGAGTTAGCGGATCGCAATCCGCTTACTACAAGAGTAATTATTGCCTTCTAATTGACTCTTCGGTTTAAAATCCAAAACTGATTTTTATTTATCTATTTATCCTAATTGTAAAAGTTTAGATTTTCCTAAATATACTAAACATATTTAGTACAATCAAAATACATGCATAACTACTGGCTACCCAGCCACATACCGTATTCTTGTTTGGACCATTTACATCTCGTGTGACACACAACCCTGTTACCAGGGTACGTGTAACCCCGTTACACCCTCCCCCATTAAGATTGAGAAAATTTACAGCTCTAATCGAATATTGCCTCAACGAGGCCCGCGTGTCCGTTAGACACTGCAACTCAATTAGTTGCAATTAAACAACTTCCTTGCACATGAGCCCTGTGCCAACGACACGAAAATCACCAAGTCTCGCTGGTTCTGACAGCGAGCACTGCAGAGCCCAACTTCGTCTCCCGCACGCGGTGCGATGTCAGACAGTGCGTCCACGGCACCGGGGATGTACATCCTATGCTTGGATATCACGAGCGTCGCGCTTTGCGCACGCTATCAATGATGAGTGACCTCATTGAGGATGTGAAGGTGGTCGACTTCGAGTCTGACACTCCTTTTCTCACATGGATGACGAGGAAGGCGAGCTGCGCCAGCAGCGTAATACGAGCCCTGCTCGCGCCTTGAAGACCCCATGTCCGTTCCCTGACTTCTCGTCAACCGAGGAACATGGTGTAATCACCAATAACCTTGACGGGGCTCAGAGGCGGCATTTTGAAGCTGCCCATAGGGCGGCTTTAAAGCGTGCCCATCCACGGCCGGTCATTGACCCTCGTGTGGAATATGGCTTCCGCCCTGCGGATC